CACCTCTGGAGCTTACAGGGGCTCAGAGGGGCTGAATCTTTGCATCTCCCCAGGGCTCAGTGAGTGCCTTACATATCGAAGGTACTCGGTACTTCTCTGAACAGCGGGGAGGGCCACAGATACGTATGGGTGGAAATGATAAGTTGGCGATGAAATAGATAGTACTGGGGCTTAGTTAAGGCTATTTTGTCAGGTGCTAAAAGCTGGTTTGAATGATCTGAGTTCTCATTAAGGTTGTACTGCTACCCAGCTGTGAGCAAGTCATTTTCTCTCTTTGTTCATGAAGGGGCTGGATGAGTCCATCCCTAAGGATCTGCGAGTCCAAGCTCTCCCGGATTCCATTGCTTGGCTGGGTAGGAGAGTTGACTTTGAGAAGGAAGGGACCTCTGGGTTTTTCTGGATCTTGGCTGAGTTCCCAGAGGGTCTTCAGACACCTGGTGAGATGACCTGTGCTTGTCCAGGACCGCTGGGAACATGAGTTCATGCCAGCAAGATCCAGCCAGTGTCCTGAATGGAAGCCTCTTCTATGTATAATTTTCTTGATGGATTGCATGAGCTTCCTATTTGCTTCTGTAACATATTACCACAAATGTACAAATTTCTCATCTTACAGTTCTGGAGGTCAGAAGTACAAAATCCATCTCACTAAGCCAAAGTCAAGGTGTCACCAGGGTTGATTTCTTCTGGAGGCTCTAGGGGAAATTTGTTTCCTTTTTCAGTTTCTAAAGGCCTCCTGTATTTTCTTGGCTCATGGCCCCTTCCTCCATCGTCAAAGCCAGCATGGTGTCTCCTCTCCTCCCTGACCTCTGCTTCCATCCTAATACCATCTCTTCCTGACTCTGAGCCTCCTGCCGCTGTTTTTTAAGGACTCTTGTGAATACATCGGGCCCACCAGGACAGTCTCTCCATCTCATGCTCCTTCATTTAACCACGTTGGCAAAGTCCACCGACCATGGAAGGTGACATTGCATAGGTTCTGGGGATTAGGATGTGGATATCTTTGGGGGCCATTATTCAGCCTCCCACAGGGATTGCCCATCAGTACAAAACCTAGACATGGACAGGGAGAACAGTGTATTGGGGCTCCTGCTTTGGAATGGGGAATTGCAGACCATCCCCATCTGTTTAAGCTGTAGACAACAGCAAAACCCATTTGCTTTCTGGGTATCTTTAGATTCTGCTTTTTGAATTATATGAGGGCCTTTATCCACAAAATATACACTTTTTTAAAAAGCTAAATTGATACACTTTATTTATTTATTATTACTGTTTTTTAAAACATATTTTTATTGATTTCAGAGAGGAAGGGAGAGGGAGAGAGAGAGATGGAAACATTAATGATGAGAGAGAATCATTGACTAGCTGCCTTCTGTACACCACTCACTGGGGATCAAGCCCGCAACCCTGGCATGTGCCCCTGACCGGAATTGAACCCTGGACCCCTCAGCCCACAGGCTGATGCTTTATCCACTTAGCCAAACCTGCTAGGGCGAAATGTATGCTCTTAAAGGAGGTGTCCACGTCTTCTTACAGTCACCAGGTTCTGATGCTCCATGTCCATTATCTTCCTTCTCCATTCTGTTCACGGCTGTTGCTGAGTGTCCACCAAGTGCAAGGCAGCGTGCCGGGGAAATCCACAGTCTCCCTGACATGCTCCTTTCCCCCACAGAGCTTAGGTCTAGTGGAAGCAGAAAGGCACATAAGCAGTTATTTTGAACACAAGGCAGGATGTGCTAAGTGACATCAGAGCAAGGGAGTGGGGAAACAGGAAGGTGACATCACTTTTAGCCCCGAGGGTGTCAGATCAGATGCCCCAATTTTTTGGTCAAAAATATGATTGCTAGGAGCCCCAGAATTTTAGGACTTTTAAAAGATAGGATGATTGGTCTTCCTCTTTCTCTTAGGGTCCTTGGTTCAAAAGAGGTATCTAGCTCTGGTGACTTATGTGAAATCACTTCTACTCAAGGTTGAGTAAAGTTGGGGACAGTAAGAATTTGCTAGGCAAAGCAGGAGTTGAGAAGAAAATGATCTTATTCATGTTGGATCTGAATGGGTGACCTTCTGCAACCTGGGCTGTACGCAGAGCCGCACCTGCTTCCCTGGCTGACCTATGACACCCAGGAGGCTGGCTTTCCTGGTTAGAAAGGCAGCAATTCCCCACGCGTCCTCTTAGGGGTGAAGGGGACTCTCCAGCCAGAGCTCCCTCCAGCCCAGGACGCAGTTTTAGAAAATACAGCTGACTTCTCCTGGAAAAACAAAACCAACCTCTTCTTACTCTGGTCATGTAAACCAAGTTGGCACCTCATTATCGCCTCGTTAGCAAGGACAGGCTGCTTTGAGGACAAACCTGGTAGGAAGGGCTGGCTCCCTGTGGGCAGGGTTTTGCGTTAAGCTTAATTGCTTTTCTAAAGCTCAGCCACTTAGTACTGCACCCGCAGAAATCTATCATCAGACTCTTGACCATCCTCCTCTTCCTTTCCTATTCTCGCCTCCCCATCTCCACCATGATCTGTGCCTGGGCCCCCCTGGGGCTGCCAAGGCTCTGCTGCAGCCAGCACCCCTAAGAGGAGCAAAGGTCTGTGACCACCTTTCACCTGGAACCCCCAGCCTTCCAAAACCCTAAAATGCAGCCAGCTCTTCTGTCCTTGGAGCACAGCAGGGCTGCTGGCTGGGTGAAGGTGGGATCTCTTTAATGACTTGATTTCTCACAGGATGGGAAACAGTAACTCAGGGTCATTTTTATCTGGCTCCGACATGTGTTTTTTACATGCATTTGGACACGGTGTGCCTGGTCTTCTGAGAACTCACTTCAAACAAAACAGCGAGGCAGCCCATGAGACACTCAGAGGGCTGAGAGGCTGCACGCCTAACCGCCGCCCTTGTTCTTCTTTTCAAAGCCTGGCTGGCGGTGGAATCCCACATCTGTATTCACTCACTGTGAGTCCTTGCAAGTAAGGCCACCTAATCTCTCTGAGCATTAGGTTCTTTCCCTGCATAATTGAGACACCTCAAATGAGATAACGCAGCCTCGCTAAGCACTGGTCCCACAGAAGCATTGTGATCAACGTGAGACTCTCTCCTGCTTACCTTCTTCCCATGACCTACACACACACACACACACACACACACACACACACACCCCTCACCATTTTCTTAGACCAACCCAAGCAGAAGCTTGCTTTCTTCCAAGTGTCTCCAAAATGGGAGAGATGATGTAACATGCCACACACTTTCCATGTCTCCCCTTTATTCCTGAACCATGCCCACCCCCAGCTTCTCTCCTTTGCTTCATTGTGGTTAGACTTTTACTGTACAGAACGTGTGACAGTGGAAACCTTGTCTGAAGTGTTGCAGCTTTGTAGCTTCTACGCCACACTTATTTATATAAGCATGCTGAATATACAGCTTGGGTTGTCCATGTTAATCCCAGCTTCAAATGCACAGTCCCATTCTTCCCTTTCAAATGTCCTGGGAATTCCAGTTCATCAACACCCCAAACATATTTCCCTATTACACCCACTCCCCAAAAGAGGTGTTTAGCCCTGGCCGGTGTGACTCAGTTGGTTGAGCTTTGTCCCATGTACCAAAAGGTTGCTGGTTTGAATCCGGGTCAGGGCACATGCCCAGGTTGATCGGGCATGCAGGAGGTGGCTGATCAATGTCTTTCTTTTATCAGTGTTTCTCTCTCCCTCTCCCTTCTCTCTCTGAAATCAATAAAAAAAGGGGGGGGTGTTTAAGACACAAGAAATATGGTCTCACAAAAGAGCCCTGACTGTGGTAACCAGATATCCCAGACTTTCTGGGAAAGGCTGTCCCCTTATGCATCCTGGTTTTTGGTCCAGAACTCACCATAACCACAGCAAAGGTAACATGGAAGGCACAGGTTCTGACAGAATAGTCCTGTAGTAAGAGTTTGTGCGAGCCCACCACTGCCTACAACCTCAACTTCAGATTCTTCTCTTGTAAATGTTTGGTTATTCTTTGTGCTGGTTGGGCTTGAGCGTGGGCTGAAGGGAGCATGATTCTTGCTGCATTTGGATGTGAAATAAGGACAAGGATGAAAATGTATTTGGCGCAAGTACACACCTCTCATTCTGTCTGTGATTTTGAAGCCTGTTTTTTTCAGTTAACATTAGAGTACATGGATTTTCTCAGGTTGCTAATTTTTTTTTTGGGGGGGGGGGGCGCGTAAATAATGACCATCCCAAATTCAAGATAGTGTCTACTATTGGCAATGGTGGGGGTCAGGGTGGATGGGGAGAGGGGATACCTAAGGAACATTTTGTGTGTTGGAATGTTTTCTGTCTTAAGCTTGGTGCCAAGTACACTTTTTTAATGTCTTGTCTTAAATATTACATAGTGAAGCAGAAACTTAAACACCAGTAGTAAATGTCTACTTAAAATTTCATTCTGTAGCTAATATCACAATTTACTCAGTTTAAAACTCCCCTCCCTGTTATCGGATTATTTGTAATTTTCAACTGTGGACACTTAAATAATGAAGTACTACTAAACATCTTTGGGCGTCAAGTTTTGTCTGAATTTTCGCTCGCTTTCTTCGGATAGATACATAGCATTGAATTATTGGGTTAAAGCATGTGGCTCTCAGGAGTACATATGACGTGGCTACCTTTCAGCAGAGTTGTGTGACTTTAAGACAGTCGTTGACACGTGTCCATTCCACTTTATCTCACACCAGCACTGAAGGCTATTGTGTGTGTTTTTTTTGAAATGTGCCACTTTGCTAGGCAAATATTTGTTGCTAATATATCTCTTTGATTACCAGCGAGATGGAACCTTCTCTCATATAACTTTTCTGTTGGAGCTTTACTTTTAATGGAGGTGTATGTGTGAGCACAGGTTTTTGCAGACTCCCTTCTGTGTGGGGCCCTGTGGGAGGGTCTTGCTCCCATGGGTGGGGGGACCACAGCTACCCACTGAGAGCCCCCTGGCCTCCTCGGGGAAAGCAGCTGTACCTCTCGACCCCTGTCTTCCTGCAGTGCCGCCAAGCTCCTGGACAAGAACCCGTTCTCGGTCAGTAACCCGACCCCCCTGCTTCCTTCGCCTGCCAGTCTCCAACTGGCTCAATTGCAAGCCCAGCTCACCCTCCACCGGCTGAAGTTGGCACAGACAGCTGTCACCAACAACACTGCGGCCGCCACCGTCCTGAACCAAGTCCTCTCCAAAGTGGCCATGTCCCAGCCGCTCTTCAACCAGCTGAGGCATCCGTCCGTGATCAGCGCCCCCCACGGCCACACCGGGGTGCCCCCACATGCTGCGAGCGTGCCCAGCGCCCGGTTTCCCTCTAACACAATCGCCTTCTCACCCCCCGGGCCAGACACGAGGCCCGGGACCCTCTGTGAGCCTTCCCAGCCAGCCCCCCAACGCCATGGTGATGCATCCCCTTCACTGGTGTCATGCCTCAGACCCCTGCCCAGCCGGCGGTCCTCTTGGGCATTGGCAAGACTGGGGCAGGTCCCGCCACGGCAGGATTCTACGAGTATGGCAAAGCCACCTCCGGCCAGGCCTACGGCTCCGAAACGGATGGTCAGCCCATCTTCCTGCCGGCCTCGGCCTCTACCTCGGGCGGCGCGACCTATGAAGGACAGTACAGCCAGTCGGGCCAAGATGGCCAGGCTGCCTTTCCCAAAGACTTCTACGGAGCCAACTCCCAAGGGTCACACGTGGCAGGCGGGTTTGGGGCTGAGCCCACGGGGGGCCTGAAAGGGGAGGTAGGTCCGCTGCTGCCGGGTCCAAACAGCCAGTGGGAGAGCCCCCACGGATTCTCTGGCCAGAGCAAGCCTGACCTCGCAGCAGGCGCCAGCCTGTGGCCTCCACCCCCGAGCCAGTCCTACGAGCTGTATGACCCCGAGGAGCCCACCCCAGACAGGACCCCTCCTTCCTACGGGGGTCGGCTGAACAACAGCAAGCAGGGTTTCAGCGGTGCACGGCGGCGGGCCAAGGAGGAACCGGCGGTGCTGTCCGTGCGGCCCCTGCAGGCTCACGAGCTGAATGACTTTCATGGGGTGGCCCCCCTCCACCTGCCACACGTCTGCAGCATCTGCGACAAGAAGGTATTTGATTTAAAGGTGAGTCATCTCAGACCACGTAGGAGCCACCGATGGAACCTGGGCGGGCTCACCACCACCACCCAACTCTCACTGTTTATGGGCGAGAAACTGGTACCTTTGGGGACTGGGGAACAAAATGTTGCCATCTATCCCCTTGATGACAACCACAGGTATTAGAACCAAAAGGAATTCCAGAAATGTACGAGGGCCAGTCCCTTGCTTTAAGGCAAGTTAGAAATTCTTAACCCGTGTCTATAGCTGAGAAGCTGCGTCTGAGTGGGGGTGGGGAGGGAATCAAGTGACCCTGCCTGGGTTACAGAGAAGGGACTTGGGGACTAGACCCTCCCGCCTCCTTGAAGAAGGCTTTTCCTCTGTGGTACATGTAGAAGTTACATATATTATCCTGCAGACAATATATTGTACTGAGTTTGAAAGGGGGGGAAAGTGAGCAGAATTTTGGATCAGGGGCAAGAGAAATTCTCAGGTGGGACCTAGATAAATGATCAAGAAGGCCTCAGCGTCCCCATCTGCGAAATGGAGATGGAGCCTCCTGACACTGCCCAGTGGTTGTAACATGCTTCGGCTGCAGCAAAGTTCCATTAGAGTGTCATTTCTCCCCAAAACGTATTGATGATGCAGCGAAATATTTCAAAGCAATAACAGCTAACATATATTAAACCTTCCCCGTGTGTCAGCAGTAACTCTCCAAAGTTGATACTGTTGCTATTCTCACTTTACAGAAGTGAAAACTGAGGCCCAGAGAGATGAAATGACTTGTCTGGGGCCCTGGGACCCTGTAGCTAGAAAGCAGCAGAGTGGAGATTTGAATATGGGTCTGGCCCTCCCAGACCGTGTGCCTCTTAAGCTCCGCTGCCTTCTGTCTCTCCTCCCGTCTGCATTTCACAATGATCCTTCCTTAGTGGGAGTCACACTGCTGTCATTCCCCTCTGCTTGGGTGCATCTTGTCTCTCAGGTGGGACACAGCCTCTCACCTCTAGTCCCTGGAGGGGGCTGGCTGACATGAGAGGTGATGGAGAGCTTTGTCCCTCCTAAGCCTTTCCTAAGGCTTTGCAACTCACTGTGATTGCACCTGCTCGATTCTCCCAACTGGATGTGGACATGGGCTGGAGGTACGGTGGGACTGAGGGTCCACTGAGTGGGGGAGAAGGACACAGGTTTTTGAATCTGGGCTTTTGTAGAGGATGGGCATGGGCTTTGCAGGTAGGATGGAGAGCAGGAACTGGTCAGGAGTCTGGGAGGGAGAGGAGGTGGGGAAGAGAAGCATCGGCAGAGTTGGTCCAGCCTCCCGGTGCGCTGAGATCCTGCCTGGCCTGAGAAGCCTGCACTTACCCTGCCTTCCCGTGGACTCAGTTCTGCTTCCGTCATTTTTCTTTCCTTCTGGCCTAGGACTGGGAGCTGCATGTGAAAGGAAAACTCCATGCTCAGAAATGCCTGGTCTTCTCTGAAAAGTAAGTGCTGTCCAGGAGAACAGGTTCATGCACGCGTCCAAGAAATCCTCACAGAACACCTGCTGCATGCCGTGAGAACAGCACAGCGAAGTCCCTGTCTCAGGGAGCTAACACTTAAGTGGGGGAGGGCTCAGATGATAAACAAAATGAATAGTGAATCACATGGCGTCCATGGGGGTAGATGCTAAGCAGAAAACATCAGGACAGGGGCAGGGGTGTGTGTGTGTGTGTGTGTGTGTGTGTGTGATCCTTGCATAGACATCTCAGGAGAGGATGGCAGGAGCTCATGACTACTTGGGGACATGCACTCCTGGCCATGGAGAATGCAAGTTCCAAGGCCCTGGCGGGGCCCTGGGATGCTCGGGCAGCATCGGTGTGACCAGCGCAGAGTGCCCGGTGAGGAGCCAGGAAAATGCCAGAGCCCAGATCCTGAGCCCTTGGGCTTGTCGTAAGAACTTTCACTTTGGCTTTGAGTGTGACTGGAGCGTTGGTGGGCTGAGCGAAAGAGGGGTGTGCTCTGGCTCTACTGACCAGGCCCCTGGCTGCTGTGCTGAGAATAGATAGTGGAGAGCAAAGGCAGGTGCCCAGAGACCAGTGAGGAGGGGCTACAGCTTTCCACAGAGAAGAGGATGCCGGCCCAGGGACGCAGGACCGAGGGTGGGGTTCAGTGTTTCGAAATGAGCGCATTCAGAAGGCCTCCCTTTCTTATTCACGATAGCCGCAAAGGTGGAAGCAACCCAAAGGTCCCCACCACATGAACAGGCAAACACAGTGTGGTACACACTTACAGTGGGATATTATTCGGCTTTAAAAGGAAAGAATTTCATGCTACAACATGGGTGAACCTTGAGGACATTACGCTCAGTGAAAGAAGCCAGACACCTAAGGACAAAAGCTGTCTGATTCCACTTATAGGAGGTACTGAGAGTCGTCAGACTCATAGAGACAGAAAGCAGAGTGGTGGTTGCCAGGGCCCGGGGCCGGGGAAATGGAGAGCTCTTGTTTAATGGGTTGAGAGTTTCAGTTTTGCAAGATGAAAAGAGTTCTGGAGATGGTTGGTGGTGATGGTTGCAAAGCAATGTGAATGTGGTTAACGCCACTGACTTGTACGCTTACACATGGTGAAGCAGGTACATTTTGTGTTGTGTACATTTTAATACAATGATTTCAGAAAGGTTTTCTCTGGCTCCCCATTTTTTTTTTACTGTGGTAAAACTGATGTAAAATGTAAAATGCAGTGGTATGTACACATTCACAAGGCTGTGCAAATATTACGACTGTCTAGTTCCAGAATATGTTCATCGCTCCCACACCCAGTTGCCCCCAAACCCATTAGGCAGCCACTCCTCACTCCCTTCCTCCCAACCCCTTACAACCCCCAATCTGCTCTCTATCTCTGTAGATTTGCTTTTCTGAACATTTCATATAAATGGAATCATATCCTACGTAGCCTGTTGTTACTGGCTTTTTTCACTTAGCACAGTATTTTCAGCTTCATCCACATCACAACATATACCACCTTTTTATGGATGAATAGTATTCATATCTGTGTGTGTGTGTGTGTGTGTGTGTGTGTGTGTATTATCACCTTTTCTGTATCTATAAATCAATCTTTTGATCTATATTCAGAGCGTTTCTTCTACCCTCTGGCTCCTGTGAATAGTGCTGCTATGAGCATTCATGTGTGCGTTTTTGTTTGAACATTGATTTTAAACTATTTTGAGTCTATTCCTAGGAGTGGAATTTCTGGGTCATATGGTAGTTCTTTATTTAACTTCTTGAGTAACTGGTTCCCCTTTTCACCCCTCTCCAGCGCTGCTGTCCGGTGTGTTCTCGGTTCGGCAGAGGGAACTCTGTGTGCCTCTCCCAACAGCACGGCCGTTTATAACCCTGCTGGGAACGAAGGTGAGCGAGGGCTACAGGTCGGCAGCTGGAGCCACGGATCAGCTTCCCAAAGGCTTAACACATCATATCTGCGATAACCAGACTTCCCTTCCGTGTCCTTATGCATCTATAAGGCAGAACCCAGGGCCCTGAAGTGCATGGGGCCTGCTGTCTGGGCTCTTGGACATTTTCTGGCCTATTTTATTTTATTTATTTTTGAAAAAATATGTTTTATTGATTTTTGAGAGAGAGGAAGGGAGAGGGATAGAAAGATAGAAACATGGATGAGAGAGAAATATTGATAGGCTGCCTCCTGCACACCCCCTACTGGGGATGGAGCCCACAACCTGAGCATGTGCCCTGACTGGGAATCGAACCGTGACCTCTTGGTTCATAGGTCGACACTCAACCACTGGGCCACACTATCCGGGCTTTCTGACCTAGTTTAGACATAAAGCTTTGCTGGTTATCAACATGCCCAGAGGTATAATCATGACAATCATTAATCACTATGTGAAGAGGGAATTTCCATTTTTCCCTCCCCATGTATGTCCTAACAGTGACTTTTGAAGGTAAAGAACTGGGTTTTCACCCTGTTTGTGTAATTTGTCATTTAGATTATGCCTCAAATCTTGGATCATCATATGCAGCCATTCCAGCAAGGTCATTTGCTCAGTCAAATCCCGCCTTCCCTTCGACCTCCCCGGGGACAAATGTGAGTACAGAACATTTTCTCCATGTCATTGTCATCACTAGGGCGTTTGCATCCCCTGCTGTGGCTGGGTGTCAGGTGCAGAGGGACCTGGGAAGGAGCTGGTGTGGCCGTGGCTTTGCTCAGTGCAGGAAAACATGTCCCTGGACAGAGGTCAAGACTTGTGTAATTCAGTCCAGCGAGTATCGAAACACACAGATAAAAATGCTGATAGACCTTTTTAAAATCGAAGGCACTCACAGACTCTCTAGCATTCAGCACTGGTTTAAAAAGGTTAAGTTTGTGTTTGTGTGTGTGTGTGTTTTTAAGACGTTGGTATTTTATTGAAGTGGACCGTTTCCTGGGAGTGGGTAATTCTGAAACGTGAAGCAGTAATGTATTCTGAAACGTGAAGCAGTAATGTGTCTGAAAGTAATGACCTTGCACTCCTGCTATGTTGGCCCCTGGGGAAATGGCTGCTTCTGTATAATACTGTGTTTTTAGTTGTGTTTGTGTGCAGTCTTCTCTCTCTGCAACATGCTCTTTAGTCCCTCAACGCTCTAAAGCTCGGCCCTACTTTTCCAACAGTTATGACGACACTTTTTCTCTCTTTGTTTTCCCACTGGGTGTAGCCTTGTCCCCATGAGCAGTCTGCCTTTCCGTTCTCTGGGAACACGTGGAAGGGGCTGGGAGACGCAGAACTGCCTGTAAAACAAAATGCATTTGCTAGAGGGCGTGTGTCTGTGTGTTTTGCCTGTATTTTTTGAATTCTCGACATGAGCAGCTGCAGCCTCTTTCTCTCGTCTCCTGCAATGAGCGACACAAGCTCACAGCAGCAGGCTCCACGTGCTGTCCCCTCCATGTGTCTTCTCCTCCACGTGCCGTGCCGGGCATGTGTGCAGACTTTCAAAGGGCAAGCTGAGCCGTGTAGGTGTGAGGCCGGGGGATGAGTGAGGGGGGAGTGAGGAGGTTCATGAGAGGAAGTGAGGCCCTCATGGGCTGAGATTTCTATTCGTCTGTTTGTTTGCGATGTTTAATAGAAGTGCTTCACGAGGGAGCCCCTGGCTGTAAGCCCAGGTTTCGGAGAAAGAGAATTTTGTGGTTTCCCTCTCTGCACCTCCATGCTCAGGGCCCACCTGGTCAGTGGCAACTTAGGGTCAGTCCCAGGAGGACAGAATGGCTGGGTTCAAGGAGCCCTGTCATTTGTCTTTGATTACATGACCTTGTGTCCCAGTGGGGGTGCTGGCAGCTTCAGAACCTTCCCCAGGGCTGTTTCTCTATCCTGTAGACCATGGAGGCATCTCTGTGCCCACAACCCGCCCGGAGACCCGGCTCTGAGGGGAGGGGACTGTGACCCAGATGGGGCAGGGGGCGGGGGCGGATCGGAGGCAGGTGGGCCAGGGCTCTGGGCACAGTAAAGGAAGCTGGTGGCCAAGAGCTCCTTACAAAGGGGAGGGGCTGAGGAGAGGCAAGGACAGGACTACTCTTCCTGTGTCCTGTGCCTCAGCCCCATTCTCCGGGACTGACCAGCGAACCAGAGGCTTCTCCTATGGATGTGGAGCCAGGAGGCCAAGTTCACGTTCCAGGTCTGGAGCCCACCAGCTGTGTGGCCTCAGGCAATCACTTCCCCGAGGCTCCATTTCCTTAAACAGGGACAATACTCCTCTACTAATGACTTTCAAAGGTAAAGTAAAGGCTAGGTGTTCACCCGGCTTGTGTAATTGATTATTTTGATGATGTGTCAAATCTTAGAACATCGTCCGTGGCTGTCTAGGCACAATCTCCTGATGCAGTGGTCGGAGCTGGAAGGTGGGAGCGAAGCTGGGGTAGACCCGAGTTGTCCTGCCATTGTGGGATCCAATGGGAGCATGTGTGTGACAATGATTTGTAAACCATGCAGCGCATAAGTAACTGGCTATTGAGTAACGAGCCCTTTTAACCTGCCCTGGGAAACCTGTGCTGTCCAGGGCTGGCTCTGTGCGCTAGCCGTGAGTTTGGGCAAGTCTCAGGGTTCCTCGTGCTCCAATCTGTCCAGTGATCTCTGTAGCCATAGCTGCTCCCCCGAGAGATGTTGGGAGGCTGCCTTTCCTTACGTGCAGGGCAGGCACGAGCCGTCTGCTGACCGGGATCATTCGTGAGTACAGTTTCCTCCAGATGCCGAGAGACAGGGAGGCCATCTGGCTTGAGCCCAAGGAGAAGCAACGCACAAGAAACATTTTGCTTTCTGCACCGGAGGCCGCAGGAAGGACACGGAGAGCCCCGGACAGTGTAGGGCGGTGATGATAACAGTAGCGGACATTCGAACAGTGCTTAATGCATTCTTAGCATTTTTGTGTGTATTAGCTCATTTCATCCTCCAGACAGCCATGTGAGGTGGGGAAACCGAGGTGGAGGGCCACTAAGTACCTTGCTCAGGTCACGTAGCTGGTAAATGGAGGCGTGGGGACTTGAGCACAGGCGGCCTGGCTCTAGAGACCTCACCACTCAGGCCCCCCCCTCCCCACCCCAAGGGTTTCTGTGTTCTCTTCCTTGCTGTGATTGTCTCTTTAGTAAGCTCCCTCCGCTCCCCCCCACCCACCTCACAAGCTGCTTAGTAGGATCTGAGGCTACCTTAGGGATGCCAGTCCTTCCTGGGCCTTCACCAGCCATCAGCCATGGAGCAAGGTATAGAGACCAGTTGAACCCAGCGCCCAAATGCTTTGCCACCAGGACAGTGTCTCCCAGGGGAACTCAGACATTTGAAGGCATTTTCTGCAGATCCAGTGGAGGGAGAGAGGCATTATTTGACTGTTGTTATCATTATACATTCTGTGAGGTCTTGTTGGTCACATGAGCCTTGCCTAGGATAACTGGGAGCCAAGGACAAAGCCTGCCCAGCCATGTGTCATCAGTGGCCTGATGGCCACATCCTCCTGTAGGCCTCCGGCCCTCTTGTTTGCCATTTCTGGCAAATGGAACTGATTGAGGTGCGCCTCCCTTTAGGCAAACCTGAAGAACAAAAATATTGACATTTGAAGACAGGCTGAGAAATGAAGGGCGGACGAATTCGCTCCTGAAAGATAATTTACAAGGCTCCTTTAGAGCAGGGGCATCCCTCCCGGAAATTGTTGATTTTTTTTTCCTGCTTACAAATACTGACCTCCGAAGATAAGCAGCTACATCAGGGGCAAAGGACACTTTGCCCAGTGAGCTCCTTGTGCGTATTCATTTCCATGGTCTTTTCTGCTTACAAAATGTATGCTTTTTGTGAAAATCGAAACGGAAAAGACGAATTAAATGAGCGATGGAAATTCCTCCCGGATCCCCCTACGGCCCCCATGAGAACCCATGAAATCTCTGCTGGGCTTTCTGCAGAAGCATTTCCCGGGCCAGGGCCAGGTCTTTTTCCGTCTCATTCCACTTCCGCACATCTTTCCAGAAGCACGTTTTGCTGCAGATTTTCCGCGCATCACTATTGCTTGTGCAGCAAAGAGCGGTCCCTGCTTCTAAAGCTCCCTGTTCTTAAGCAGAACACAGTGACCGGGACTCTGGGCGTGAGCCCTCAGACGGTCTCCGAAGGGTCACATGGGGTAAAACGATCACAGATCCCGTCTACTGCCTCCACCAGCCCAGGCCTGGCTGCGAAATGGATACTTGTCTCGCCTCTGTGGGAGCACCAGCCTCCCTTTCCATGTCTCTTGTTGACGGAGATGGGGAGGGGGTGACTTGTGTGTGCCCCAGCCCCTCCTCGCCCATCCCAGGGTCCCCGGGGGAAGGTGTTCACTTTCGCTGGAAGCTCTGCCATTGACTGAGTGGAGGCACTTTGTCTTTGGCTGACAGAGTCGCCATAAATAGAGTCATCAGGTTTCCTGAGCGGGCCTTCAGGGCCTTCTCGGGGCCGTAAATAGTTTCCTTGCACCTGCCCAAGATGGACTTGGCCTGCTGGCTGTCCCCATAAAACCGCAGGGAAGTTTTCACAGCCACCTTGGGGACTATTTAGTGCCAGCACCACAGATGGGCCTCCCCGGCCTGCGAGGATACAAATCGTTTTTATGGTTTCTTTCTCACCGGGCCGCCGCACACCAGGAAACTTGTGGAAATAAGGAAACCGAGGCACGGGGAAGCATACGTGTTTGTGGAAGGCCAGAGGTTGCCCCTCAGGTGGCAGGCTGTTTCCTGGAACATCTGGCTTCCCGGGCCCATGGTTCGGAGCGCTGTGGTCCCCTGGCTTCCAGAGCATGAGGAGGAGCAAATTCATGCGACACATGATGCCCACCCCTCTCCCACCAGTCCAGTTCTGTCACTGCTCCTGTCCCCTCCGTGGGGGCCACCTTGTGCATTTTCAAAGAGAACAAAGAGCCAGGAAACAGACCTGGGTGGGTTTTGTTCTCTTTTTCCTTTACTTTGTACAGATCTTAATTATGTTTTCTTGTTGCAAAAGTAGTACAAACACAGTCTAAAAAATTCAGTCACAGACATGTAAACAATAGAAAATCTAACCCTGCTGAGAAAACTGAAGGTAGATGTCTTTTACTCTAATTATGGGTTTCTGGCTAGTGTACATCTGCTGGCGCAATTACCAAGAGTATATATTTTTGCACAAATCAGATAACACCATATAATCTGTTGTGCAGGATGGTTTATTTCACGTAACATGAGCTCACAATACATATTTTAATTGATTTCTAGCCATCTTCTTGCATCTGAACACAAAACACTATCATATATATAACATTGTCTATTGTATGCATTTACCATAGTTTATCAAGTCCATGCTTGATTGATTTTTCAGTGAAGCCTGAGTTGTAATCACAAACCTAGCACTATTCCATTCCCCACAAATTAAGTTCCTTAAGTTCTCCCAGGCATCTGTGTCTACATACGCAGTGATGGGTGTGGACCAGATAACCTCCCAGATTAAGATTCCGAGACTCTAAGGATTACATGTTACACCACCCAGAGACCCGTAGGCTAGTCTGGCACAAATAAAAGTAGATTTACTCTAAGTCAAAGCTAATATGCTTTATAAAATATTTGAAAGTGTC